AAGTTTGAAAAGTTGTTGGAAAATTTGCTTGGAAATTTGAAAAAATTGTTTGAAAAGAATAAAAATTTCATGGAATGTCAGAATTATTGCAAGGAAAGTCAGTAAATATGATGTCTAGAAAGCTACCGTAAGATGCCAGGTAAGACAGACACAAGTGGTAAGTAAGTAAAAAGTAAGGAAATGTTCTGAAAAGTTGCCTGAAATGTTGCATAGGAAGACAAAATATCTAGCAGATATTTTGAAGTGTGGTATTGAATTGAATTGAAGTGTGGTATGGTATGGTATAAGTATAGCAAGACAGTTGTTGGAAGACTCATTTTCACAGATGCCCATATTTGGAAACAGTAATATAATATATCATACCCTTGTAGCCAGAGAATCGGATTTTCAGAGCTGGTTTCCATGGCATTGCCCAGGGCACAGTTTTCATCGTCAAATTGCAGATGTTACTTGTGAACAGTGGCATTAATGGAGTGATGTCAGTCAACCAACGACCAATACGTCTACAAATAGAGCACAAATAACTTGTGGCAATGGAATTCAAGCCAAAAGTTTGAGTTATCACAACAAATGGGCAATGTTTTAACAGTTTAACTATGCTTTACCCACACATACCTTCTGAATGGTGTTATCCATCGTCCTAATTCCATACCACATAGAGGTGACTCCCTATCACAGCACACGTACAACTGCACTGTGTGGTCCCATTCAGGGCAAGTTTCGTCACGTGTCCCAGGACATGACAATGACGTATCCAGTTCCACCTTGGAGTATTTCATCATCTCTGAATGAAAGAAAATTAGCCAATCATTTGTGTCGTCAGAAAGTGTACCCATAATGCATCATAATAAAGACAATTCCAATACTTCCGGCGTAGACCAACTATTTGGAAACCAGGAACTATCAGAAATGGGATTCAAATGTTTGGAAATTCAACAGCTCAATTATTTGCAAAACCCACGAATTGCATATTAATTTTAAAGGCCAGTGGTCGTTATGCTAGATTTGTGTTGATAAACATTGATTTTCCCAAAATCCAATGCGAGGGTTGACCTGGGTGCGATGAACACCATCAATGACTCCTTCCATGCCTTCAATAACCAAAAAAATTATCTAGTTAAATCTTACTAATATCAGCAGTTTGTACTCGCTGGTCCGCGCAACAGTCAAAGTCGCCCGCGCATGCGTGGCGCGATGACCAGCGCCCTTTAAATAATTCATCGGAAAATATTGATGTATCTGGACACTGAAAAGCTATTCACCAACATACTTAATTTAACGAATAGGAAATTCAGGCAAATAAATGGACGGCGATCCGCTAAAAGTGTGTCTGATAAAGTATACATATACATCCTAGAGTATACTAGATTTGGTAAATAAGTCAAATCCCTAACATTATTTGTCCGAGTTCGTATTTGTAGTAGCATTTGTCACAACGGATGTGATGTCATACCTTCCATGGGTGGTAATTTCGTAGTGACTACCACACCGGGATCCCCTTTCATGATAGTGTGATTGAACGCTGTCACGACCAACGCTTCCTTCGACAAATTCTGGAACAATTCAGACTTGAAATTTAACCTGTGATAAAACGTAAAGCCTATGAGCGCCCTCTAGTGACATAGTTCTTCTATGACGTCAATTTGAACAACATGTTTAAATCAACTTGACAAATATGTATATGGTGAAGAGGTTAGAGACGAGCTGGACACCGGAGGTGGCAATAAAAGACATTTGTAAACTTGTAAAACTGGCAACAATATTTCGAATAAATTTTACGTAATGCTGCAGAAAAAAATCGGTAATCGTCGGACTGCTCACGTTTGAATTTCCTGCAAACAAACAAATTATTTTACACACACGTTGTATGCGTTGCATGGGACCCATACGCAACACGATGCGACGCGATTTGACATACTAGTATTTCTAGCAATTTGAAAACCATAAAAAAATAAAAACCCGACATATTGTACAATTCGAGCTGACATAACAGACGAATGGCTATTAACAGAGTCACATGACATGTTAGAAATTACAAACAATCAAACACCCACTTACCACTGAGCTTGCCAGGTAAGAAAGTGGAATGACGGGTACAACAACCAACCCATTTCATACAGCTTCCCCTGCCCATCAATCCCGAAATAAAAGTTATCGGACGGAGTATGCTGAAAAGTGGCATTCATTTTCGATTGGGACAGTCTGCAAAAACAATATTAATGTTTTAGTGGCGCAAGCTGTCTTCAGAACTTGCATCAAAGAAGGTCACAAACAACAACAAATATTTACATATAGAAAGTGGCCAGTTCTAAAAGATCTGGAATAAACAGTTGTGCCATTTCACTTTACGTTATAGTATTATACTATGGAAACAACCCCATTCCCTTCATTTTTACACGTATTAATCAACGAGCACAGAGCGCATATAAAGCCATTTGAAAATGTTGAAATGTTATTCCATCGACCAATAAAACGTGGTTTTTTGAATTCTGAAGGTATAACTAACTAACTAACTAGCCGTCCGTAACCCTCTTACACACGTATTTTGAAATGTTACGTACGTCTTTGTGAAAATGTGCGTTATATATACGTCACATTCGTCAGACCAATCAGAGAGCACGCCAGTGAATAACACCGAAAGGTAATAAATAATATCAAAGTAATAAACATGTTCTGGGTGCGTGACTGCGTACAGCACCTAACCGCCAAGCCTCGCGTCACGACATGCCTTCCCCTCGGCCACCAGCCCGTTACCACCTGGCACCCACAAAAAAGATGTTCAATAACCGAGTTTATTACATGAAGGTAGCATCCGTCTTTGGCGTGCGTGATCGTCGGTTCGAGTTACGCTTGTAGCGGTACACATGTTTACCCCGATTTGACATAGTAGATGCCCTTCCGTGTAGTCGGTGTTATTCACTTGCTTTACTTTTCTTTCGACGTATCAAATACGGCCTTGTATATTTACTCCAATCCAATTGGTCCTCACCTGTTAAGTAAATCCCCGTTGTACGGCATCATAGTGGCCGGAATCTCCAGCTGCGTGTCACACTCTTCGTCCTGGCAAGTCATGTCTTCAATATTTCCACCAGCATTAGCAAAAATGATCACTCCCAACGCCCCGTCTTTCTGCATATTAGAAACCTTTAAATGTGAATAGAACGAAAATTAAAAAATTAAAAATTAAGGCCTCTAGTATTGAATAAATTTAAATATAATATATATGTAATATATAAAGCAAATTGTAGTACGGGTCGACCATTTTAAAACCTGGGGTTGGGAAATTTGTTAAACAAAAAATGCACTGAAGAAAAAAATGCATGCAAAATATGTTGACACATTCAAAATAATCAGAAGACACCACGAAAAAAAACGTACTTGTCATGCAATGCTGTTCCAGCCACCCCCACGATGTCTCATGTTTGACCCCTAGGTAATCTTAGACCGTGGTCATTTTTCAATATAACCAGACGTTTCAGGCAAAGTATTCTTTCACAATGATAGATAACATTTTGTCCGTAACGTATGGTTATATTGAATAACTATACCAAGGACTGAGATTACTGCTAATCCATCTCTATACGTGGTAATTCTTTTCTAGTCTGATTTGTGTGATAACTGCGTTCAAATAGAAAATGGCCGCTGAGATCTCGAACAATATAAATCTCATACGCAAATGACCGCTGAGATCTCGAACGACAAAAACCTCACACGCAAATGGCCGCCGAGAACTTGCTGAGAGCGAGAGAGCCGCGGGTTTTTTTTTCCCCAAATAGTTTCCAAGTTCACTTCCGTCATTATGTCTACTAGCTGATCCTCAAGTATATATCTACGGTATTTGGAACGGTGACGACACTATTAGTCTCGTTAAAACAATTCTCGCAGCCTTCTCGCTATCACCGAGATCTCGGTGGACATTTACGTGTGACGTCAAATCCTTCGGGATTGTTTTTCTATTGTTTCAATGCATAAAAAGCCCTGCTTTTCTTATAATTTTTACCATCAGAGACTGAAGCTTTCTGTAACAATTTACATATTTTAAGGGTCAACGCGTATATTGATTCATTTCAAGTGCGACGTCCTCTAGTCATCTATAGACTTGCAACAGTAGATCATAATACTCCTTCTAGTGAGACTATGCTAGAATTAGATGGGTGAACCACATTCAGAAACGTAGAAAAAATAGGAATAACAAATCTGAATAACGAAGACACGTGATTTGTAATTCAATTTGGAATGAACCATTATTCATTGAGGGATGGAAATGTTTACTGGATAAGTCCACACTCCATTCACAGAGAGGATTGTCACTTACTCGAGTGAAGAAACTACATTCCCCATTCCTGGAAAGAAGTGCGATTTTTCCTTTTACGTCAATGTTGCCTTGGCAACCATTCCCAGCATTCGTAATTTCTGTGGACTTATCACCAAATGCCGACACTGGAGACGGCAACCAGTCGTAGTGAGCGTCAAGTCGCTTCATGATGTACGGTGTGTCGTCGCCTGAAATAGACAAGGTCAGTTTAAGTTATACGCACTTAGGAAAACAAAATGTACGATTCGCCGTTACGTCATCAAATTCACCAAATATGGAGCGCCACCTACGTCCACCCACCTGATGCTTGGAAAACTATCTGATCGTATCCACATCCATGACCTACGCATGCGTAATAATTCAGTACGGCTGGGATCCAATTGCCAAGGTTGTATATGGCGGAAGTTACGTAATGTAGCCTTCCCTGCAAACTCGTGACCTGTCTTTTACTGAAAAAAAATGTTGATATAAATTATTCTGTTATATTTGCGTTAAAATAATATTAACTACAGTATGTATTTGGTGAGAGGTAATCTATTTTTCGCAGGGTGGTTGAATAGCTAATATTTTTTTCAAACAGGTATTTTTTTTCATTTGCTAGATTTCAGGAAGGCTTTGGATAATCATGTTCAGATTCTCAGATTCATGTTGTTTTAATATATTTTTCTGTAAAATATTCTGTTTTTATCAGATTTTAACTTAACCACACACATTTGAAACAATGACCCATTTCTAGTAATAAAGTAATTGGTCCAGATTTTAACAAAATAATCGAAAAAGTACACGGTCTAAACGGTTTTGTGTCGGCAATTATCATCGCATTACGCAGAGGACAGAGGTACCTATACCACGTGACTCTTTCATAAATTTCTGGAGCGTTTTTGGAAAATTACATAACTGCTTTCCACTGTTACATTCGAATTTTCTTTGTGCATTTTATAAATTGTTCTCAAAGTGTTTGATGCGTCATCAACCTGCTGATGAAAATATTTCGAGACACATAATGCTATCAAGCAAGATGCACTGTGATTGGGTACTGGAGTTCTTCATTTGCATAATAAATATTTTCCCATCATGCATCATGAATATTACCTTATTTGGAGTTGCAACATCATATCTACCATTGTCTTATCGATTTGCCCTTTCAGCCAATCTGCGTCCTCCCTCGGACGATCCGATGACGACATGAAAATATAATGAGTATTATTCGGCGAATTTTCGATCAGCGATTTTAATGAACTTTCTGACGTCCACATGCACTCGACGAAAGCGGATCGATTGTCGAACACCTGAAACGCGATCGGCGTCCCGTTCTTCAGAGACTCGGACGGGTATGTTAGAGCGCCGCCTAGTGTCCGCAATGTGAAACCTTTAGCGGGTTGCCCGGGGTCATATGGGTTTACAGGGTCCTTGTTGTTGTTCAATGCAGCATGTGGTTTCCTCGCCGCTAAATTATTTGCAGCCATACTCACCATGGCCATATTTAGCCGTCTGTTTCCTGGTTGACGTTTGCCTTCCTTCGACTTAACAGTAAATAAATGCGTTTCAAGTAAGGGACCAGAATGATCTTGGACCTCGTTGGTGGCGGGTTTCCTAATCAAGTACTCGGTATCATCCGAGGCGGGGAGGCCGAGGACGACGCACGCGAGGGACGCGGTGACGCATATCCAGGTAGTATATGACGCCATGTTGACGATAGTTGGAAGTTTCACGCGAGTAGTTATTCAAATGAACACCACAATGTCGACTGATTAGATGTTGACGTGTGGTCAAAGATCAGACATCACGTGACCCAGCGACGGACGTGCTATGAGTAGTCGCACCACAAACCAGGTCTAAGGGTTACAAGCGTGGAGCAGTTGATTTCTTATTGTATTGCCTCTCCCACTATGACGAAATTGTATTGATTTGGACAACCTTTATAGACCCTGATAAATTGATTGTAGAAACATAGGTTTAGATCTAAAATTTATGATAACAAATACCCGTGGGTCCGACTTACAGAATGATCTGGTACACATGTCTGTGAAAGAAAATGCGTTAAAATGGTGTTTTTTTTTTCAAAGAAAAGCAAGTTAACGCGCGTTACGCGTTTAGGGTTACCATTTCAGTCAAAATAGACAAACTTGAAAAGGGTGTCTTTTCCGGTACTGCCAACGTGATTAGGGTGGTTATTTTTTAAATGAGATTATCGTTTTTTTTTATTGCTTTAAGGAATTCAATGATCGCAAAAACGAGGAAAATGTCCGGCCCCCTGGTTAACGACTCTCGATCACGGCATATGACCAACCCGTGTTTACACTGAAGGGCTAGAAAGCTCAAATATCGCGAAATCAGGCGCCAGTTCAAGGTGCGTGATCTTTTAACTTTTTAACAGTGAAAAGGGATACGAAATTTTGACCTTTTAACATGTTTAGGGTAATTTTGAAAACCCCTTTCACAGACATGGGTTCATTTTGAAAACCCCTTTCACAGACATGGATTCCAGGTATTTTCTCAAGTCGGACCCCCGGGAAAAATACACCTGATCGAAGTAAAAGAAAAAGATTTTTTCTTCTAGATCTAGACTTTTTGATGAAAAAACAAACAAACATTTCTTCTCCCAGATCAAGATTTTTTGACGAGAAAAAAACGTGTCCTTTCCTAGAACTAGATTTTTTTATATGAAAAATAAAAACATTCCCTGTCCTCGATCTAGAATTTATTATGAAAAAACAGACATTTCCCCCTAGATAGAAATTGTTGAAGAAAAAAACGTGTTCTCTCCTACATCTAGAATTTTTGACGAAAAAACATTTCCTCTGCTAGATCTAGATGTTTTGATGAAAAAAAACGTCTTCTCTCCTAGATCTATAATATTTGATGAAAAAAACAACAACACATTTCTTCTCCTAGATCAAGAATTCATGATGTTACACTGCTTAATTCATGAAATATTCACACCCTTACGCACATGACAAAAGAAAGTCTCTACAATCAAATAGGCTAGTCGCTTCTTCAATCGTTTCAAAGATATTGGTAATCAAAAAAAGTTGTGTTTTTTACATCAGAACCCCAGTAAGACCTTTCTATTGTGACTTTTACCGATCTTTGTCTGTACCGAAGGACGTATATTGTAATAAAGGTGCGCATTACTGGCAAACTAAAGTGAAATAAAACACTAATAACCAATCCCAGCGTAGATTTTTCCAATCGCTCACGTTCTCGGAATCATTACAGTTCCAGACATTGAATGTTACTCTGTTGCTCCGGACTTTTTTTATGTGCAAATTCGAGTGATAGTACTGACACATTTTTGCCACAGAAGAATTATTCATTGTCGCTTCTTCAATCGTTTCAAAGATATTGGTAATCAAAGAAAGTTGTTTTTTTTACATCAGAACCCCAGTAAGACCTTTCTAATGTGACCTTTTACCGATCTTTGTTTGTACTGTGCGGCCATCATTCTGTCAAATGCCAATATAATGCGCTGTCCTGGTGTCAACCAGACCCGGGCAAGCACAAGCACGGCAAAGTCGCATCCGTTAGAGAAGTTTTAAAGCGGGGGAGTCGTCACTTGCGCATGCGTCAAATGGACATAGCGTGTCCTTGAATGTTTACAAACAAGCGTCTACCCACGAGCCTTTGCGTGTTTAGCGTGTGTTATTGACGCTTGGGACACAATTCCCACGCGTGCGCAGGTGACGACCCTCCCGCTTAAACAGCAGTGGATTTATCAGAGTTCGGAATGGTCCTCACGGTCCTCTTTTTTGAGGCACTATGGTTTGAGTGACATTACCTTCATCCATATACGTCAGTATGACATCATAGAATCTCCTTGTAACTAGAGGGCGTGTTTCATTGGAATGCTTTATTGTGTACCGCATTTTAACTGTACGAAACCATGGTTACTAGTAACCGTGACATAACTTAGCATTAAGGTTGTGTTTGTTCATACCAAGTTTGTGTTGAGAGGGGTGTCATCGTAGTATTGTTACAACAGTTGTTGTTGACGATTCTGATATAACAGGTGATAAGCTTAAAAAGACAATTTGAACTTCATGTAAAGATATGAACATCTGTTCTTTATTTACATTTAGTATATTTTTTATTTTGATGTGAAAGACTTTTACCGAAATAGTAAAGCAAATTGAAATTATATAAGAGTAGTTAATTTACATAATACACACAAATCAGGGTTTGGTGATAACATTGTTAATAATATACAGATTATGCTAATAATATGCAGATTATGCTAATTATATGCAGATTATGCTAATAATATGTAGATTATGCAAATAATATGCAGATTATGCTAATAATATGCAGACTATGCTAATAATGTGCATATTATGCTAATATTATACAGATTATGCTAATAATATGCAGATTATGCTAATAATACACATCATTACCATATAATGTACAGATTATGCTAATAATATGCATATTATGCTAATAATATACAGATTATGCTGATAATAAGCAATTATATGCTAATGATATGCAGATTCTATGTTAATTATATGCATTTTATATCCTTGGAGGATGCCTCATTTTCCATCTTAGTAAGCTGAAACTACACACAAAATTCAACAATTTTATTCTAATTTTACACCACTGAGCATTAATTTCACAAGTTTTTGATTATTTTAATAAGTCAGTAAATAATTTTCCGTCTGTCCCAAAGCACAGTGTCAGCACCTTTTATAAATTTTGCAATTAAATCATTTAAATCATGAAAATTTAGCTAAGAACCTGATTTACAATGCTTTGAATGCATTATGAAAGACAACTTCCCATCGTAAATGTAATGCAATGTTAAGCAGATTATATGGTAATGATATACAAAGTATATGGTAATGATATAGATATAATAATGTTATGCAGATTGTATGATAATGATATGCAGAATATGTGGTTATGATATGTAGATGATATAATAATGTTATGCAGATTGCATGATAATGATATGCAGAATATATGGTCATGATATGTAGATGATATAATAATGTTATGCATATTGCATGATAATGATATGCAAAATATACGGTAATGATATAGATGATATAAAAATGTTATGCAGATTGTATGATAATGATATGCAGAATATGTGGTTATGATATGTAGATGATATAATGTTATGCAGATTGCATGATAATGATATGCAGAATAAATGGTAATGATATTTAGATGATATAATAATGTTATGCAGATTGCATGATAATGATATGCAGAATATATGGTCATGATATGTAGATGATATGATAATGTTATGCAGATTGTATGATAATGATATGCAGAATATGTGGTAATGATATGTAGATGATATAATAATGTATGCAGATTGTATGATAATGATATGCAGAATATATGGTCATGATATGTAGATGATATGATAATGTTATGCAGATTGTATGATAATGATATGCAGAATATATGGTAATGATATGTAGATGATATAATAATGTATGCAGATTGTATGATAATGATATGCATAATATATGGTCATGATATGTAGATGATATGATAATGGTATGCAGATTGTATGATAATGATATACAGATATGGTAATATTTAGATGATATAATAATGTTATGCAGATTGCATGATAATGATATGCAGAATATGTGGTCATGATATGTGATG